CTTGTTTGAACTTAGCTTGAGTTCCATAGCAAATTTCAGCCGGGCTGTTGAAGATATTAAAACTCGGCCTGAAACAAAACTATTTACTACTGTTTGAGTTTTGAAAAAAAGAGAAGCATTTTATTTACATGTATAGGTAAAAAGAAAGGAAGGAAACAATGTACACCGAATACAGCAATGGAAACACTTCACCGGCAGCTTCTCTTGCTATTTTATTACTGTTTTTTGTTTGTTGTTTTGTGACCCCCGACTGCCCTGGAACTTACGATGTAACTGAAGGTGGCCTTGAACTCAGGTAGGAACTTTAGGCACGGGCTATTTTAAAATCCCACATAGCAATGTTGGGTGGCAATGTTTCCAAACATAATTTAATATTCAGATTTAACATACAGAACATTTTGACATCTTCAATAGGGGAACTGAAATTAATTTAAAAATGACCTTCCTGAATTACAAACTGAAAGTGTCACTAATAAAGTAGGAAATCAGGAAGGATAGATTGAAGTTGTTACTTCCTTTGAAATGGGTGTGGGTGGCCCCCTCTTTCGTTTCAGAGTTTGAAGACATGGCTTAAATTTCAATGACCTGTGAATTTGAAAAGCACTCAGTTTCAGAATTAGGTAGGCTATGAAAAGGAAAAAAAAGCCTGTTGTCACTAGTTATACGCATTATATATACATATATAGGTATGTATATCAGCTATTTCATGCTTTACATATAGCCTGTTTTCGTTCATACTAGAGGAAAGGGGCTTTGGTGCAAACGAAACGTTTTCTGAGTAGAAATTCCGGTGATCACTAGTGTATTTTCGTCTGGAAAGACAATAATCCTTCCCTATCATTCCCCTCCCCCTCGCGGGAGGATGAATGAATAAACTTATAATACTGGCACTATAATGGTCATCCCACAGCTATGCAATGAAAGTTTCGTGTATATTTAGTATTAGACTGTTGGGTAGAAAAGTACTCAGATGAAAACTGTAAAAATGAAGTACTTCAGTCCAGGGCAGTCTCATCTACCCAATTCCTTTCCAACCACACCTATCCGGCCACTGCGGGTCTCAGAGGTTGACTTCCAGGGCCTGCAGGCGGGCCGGCGCTCTCTCAGAAGCCACCGGTCTCAGCACTCAGGGCACAGAAGACAGCTGCCCCAGCCCCTCCCTTGTCCAGTG